GATTGGGCGATGATGGATCTTGCGGGAGCAGATAAAGATGTCTGCTGCCAGAGCTGACTGTCTCGGTACACAGCTTTCCTCTTACTTCAGCTATTGATACATAATGCTTCAACGAAGGATGACATTTACAGCTCGCTCCGCACACAACTCCAATTAATAATTCAAGAATATCTCAAAACGCTTTTGATGCTTGGAACGATAAAAGACCGTGGCTGAACAGTTGAGTCAGATTTATTGAGTTGCGAGTGCGTAAGGTAGTTTTCTACCCAATGGAAATTGATTTTTATTGTAATAACAGCCGTAATACAATTTTATATGATATATCAAACTGTTACCATAAACAAACGTAGGCTTTATCACATACTAAATCCGTGACTGTCAAAACTCTCTCAATCCACCATCAAAATACTGTAGGCATATAGCGCCCTCGGCTAACGGATCAACCGCCCTAACTCTGTTAGGCAAACGGATGACAAAGTCGAGTATACTCCAAAAATTCTGTTACTCTACAAATACAATAACTGGGTTTGGATACGGAGTCAGAGGTCCCAAAGGGAAATGTGAGCTTCTTTAAGGACTCCAGCAAAACATCGTCAATAAATCTTCGTAAACAAGGTTGGAGAGGAAAGATAACTATTGTAAAAACTGATAGAGTCTATTGGCGAGACGTAAGCTTGCTTTATCATCTTGTGTGCATCTAATCTACAACCATTCTGATGGAAGTCTGATAGCAAGAAAAGTTGAGAAAAACAAATTGGAAACTCAATCGTGTTTCCAAAAAAAGGAATTTTCTATATCGCGTGGATTGATGACTGTAGCAATATAAATGTATATTGAAGGCAAGCATGTCTTCCAGTGGAAATAAAATTGAATTACCAATTTACATGTGAAATAGAAATGAGGTCCACGGCTGATTTAATCTGCTACCTACTGCTGTCATCATAAATCCACCTATTACAAAACATATTAAATTGTGTCCAGAACAATTCTTATCTTGATTGAATAAATGGAATCTATCCTACCGTAGAATACTGTACATATTAGGGAGGTCAGGAAACATTTCACAATTGATATCAGGACACGGCATGATCTATAAACAGAGAGAGGCAATCATTCATGGGACTAAACTAGCCAGAGTACTGGAATTGTCTGTTCCCGACAGTGGTACAGTCTGATTTAATCAAAGTATTCTTAGGATTCCTGATTGACATGTTAGAAGATTTTTCTCGATGACAATACATGACCTAATATGTCTCCCATTCAAATGAAAAGGAAACATTATTTAACAGTACTGCATACTTGACAACTCTCCCGATTTTGGAGGGAGACTCCCGATTTTGGACCCTAAAATATAATATTTTCAACCAGTGAATTGGCTAAACTACTCCTACAGTCCAACATCTAATGATTTCATCTGCAATAACAGCTCAAAAGAAGATGCCATTTAAAAGAGTTATTTTTTCCCTAGGGTGTACATACACACATTTTATTTATGCTTTTAGTTCTGAGCACGCGTAATCTCCTCGATGGAAATTTCAAAATGTGGGCAAGTATGGTACTGGTACTTCTTGTTCTTCTTAAAAGCATCTATTTGTACAGGCTGTTTCTAATGAGCCATTAAAAATATCTTGATAGAACTTAAGGTTTGCCAACATCACCAACAGAAGGTGGGCAGTGCACTGTAATTAGGTCACTGTGACCTTTCTTATTAGGTCAAAGGTCAAAATGTATGCAAATCAAATACATGTATTCATATTGGCTAATATGAGGAGACAAATGCCTTTTTTTCACCAAAAATTAAAGAAATCTACTTGGCCATTCTAGCTGTCTTTAGCGAGCCCTTCAGCCCAAGTTTAAAATGTCCTACATATATATATGGACTCTTAGAAAAAAAAGGTTTTTATTTCAGAACTATTAGTCAAATAATTGTAGAATATCCTAATTTGTCAGAGTAAGATATATGTAATTACAGACAGTGGTGTTCAGGTAAACCTGTTACAGATTTGGTCAAGCAGGGTCTATAAACTGATCAATCAATTACGTAACTAAATGATACATTTTTAGGTCACCTGAGCTTTAGCTCAAGTGACCTATTGCTATCCGTTTTCGTCGTCCGTCGTCCGTCGTCCGTCGTCCGTTAACATTTTACATTTCAAACTTAAAGTCAAGTTCTGCTGGGCCGATTGAACTGAAAGTTGGTAGGAATGATCGCCTCATGGTCCTGACAAAGTGTTGTTATTTTTCGGGTC